AGACATTATTGCTCTAATATTTTCTCTGATTATGTTCTTCTTCTTTAGACCACTGTACCTCTGAACACCAGCACTGCCTCAGCTCTGCAGTTTGCCCTGGGTGAGTATCCAATGTCCACAGGTTTTGCAAAGATGCACTGCATGCAGGCAGTTTTTGTTAAAAAGATTTTGAGGTGTAAGAAATGACACCTGGGAAGATTTTAAGTGCCTGTTTATCAACTTATCTTATGGTACATATATATTTTTTTAATTACATACAGTCTTTCAATATGTTAGACTTTGTCATGATTTTATCAAGAGCTCTGACCCACATGCAGGAAACCAAAACAGAGAGACCAGGGAAAAGTTTAACAGGTTTATTTAGAAGGGTGAGATGAGTCCAGTGCTGCTCTGAACACTGTTCAACCAGAACTGGAAAGTGAGGGGAAGACACTGTGGTTAGTTCAGGCTGAGTGGGAAATTTTATTCTTGAACTTGAAGAGGAGAAATAGGTTTCCAGAAAATGGTATCTTTAATTGAATCCAGTCGGTGTGGGATGTTCCTGTGCTTGTCTTGTTAGATGGAGGGCGGACAGGGTTTACCCAGGTTGCGGTTGTTCCTTGGTGAACAGAGAAGCTGACTGCCACTTAGATTTCCTGCGGTACTTGAACGGGTCGTTGTAAAGATAAATCCCCTGCTCGGAGAGAAGCCCCAAACGATCTTTGGGGAAATAGGTTGATCCAAGCCACAAACTTGAATCCTCAACTCAGTTTGGTTCTCAGAAGATCCTTCCAGGGGAGAGAAGGTCCGAAACATCCAGTTTGCAGGATGACTTCCTGTCGAGAGGCAAAGACAAAACAGTGAGGTTTAAACTCAGGTTCACAAACACTCAGTTTGACTCAGCAAAACTCAGCTTGGCTAGAGTAACCAAAACTGGCAAACACTCTGGCGTCGAGGTAGTGGCAGTCAGCAGCTTAAGAGCAGTCCGTTAATGAGGTAACCCTCCGCAGGTGTGTGAGGAGGCCAACCAGAACCAGGCGCCGCCTGGTGGAGGAAGGAAGACAAACACAAACAAAAACCACACAGACTGGAATCCTAACGGCATAGACTTAGAAAACTTTTATTGTCATTTCGTATACACAGAGTGTATGCAAAACTTAATTTCATTTAGTACATCTTTTCAGACAGTAAATGAACATTTCTATTCCATGAAGTGCAGCAAATGTAAACAGTGTGGGAGAAAAAAACATGGTGCACCTTGTATTTGTGTATTTACAGACTTTTTGAAAAAGGGGTTTTTTGCCAGGTATAAGGTGTTTCCTTGTGCCTTGCTTGACCTTTTAAAGACAGGCCAGAAATGGTACCATTTTTTCTTAGGATTTCACTAATTGGAACATGGACTCACTATGAGGTTAAAAAATACAGTCCTGTTCACCCTAATCTTATTTGGCTTACACCTGACAGTGTTGGGAAAAAGTTATAACTTTCTTTTAAACCGATGGGGATAAGATGTATAAAAACTTAAAAATGATAAAAACCAAATAAACAATCAAAGGAACAAAACATTTAAGACCACTTTCAGTTGGGAGATGCTAAGGGTTTTCCTTTTTTTATAATCATCGGCCTCTAACCTCCAACACTTCCCATACAGAAACACTATAAAGAAAACAGATTTTTGGTGTTATTTTTGAAGAAAAGTTTAGATAAGAGCAACAGCGGTGCGATCTGTGAATGGTTTTCCATGCTTGCAACATTACTAGCAGCAGTAGTGGAATTTAGAGATGCAATCTACTTCTTCAATCTATCTTTGCTGTGCTCTAATTTTTCTAGAAGTTCTGCAAACGCCCTTTTTCTCTCACTCTTGGTGGTTGGCTGCATATTTAGCCTGCCTTCCCTGGAAATGCCTTTCCAAATGACTCTTTATTAGGTGACAACTTCTCAATGCAAAGCAAACGTGAAAGCAATCCTAAATGATTTGGTCCAACCTTCTTTGAATCCTCTGTTCTCATCAGCTATCTTCACACACAGCGCTTTTTATTACAACAGCCACCTGCCTGGCACCGTGCCACACTGAAACCTGTCCTGCAGGCTATGATGCAAATCTTTAATGACAGAGATATTTACATTTATTGTTTAAATGTATTTATTATAAAAGTTTTTACAGTATTTGAAACATAATAAATGTTTGTTTGACTATGGAGGATAAAAAGTGCCAAAATTAAATAAATAAATACAGCATTAAATAAATAATTAAATGTGTCAATAATTAATTAAATGTAAAATTAAATAAATAAATGTGTCATTCATTAATTAAAACCACGTCACTAATATAAAGTGCCTGTCATGATCGGTTCNATTTTCAAAGACTCGTCGAAAAACTATAACTTTTATTTTGTCTGAATTCAGGAGCAGAAAGTTAATATTATTATGTTTTATGTCTGTATTGTCCAGTTTAGATAAGATAAGTGTTTTTCATTTGCTAAGTTTTTTTTGTACAAGATGGTTCTGGAAAATGACTACAAAGATGTGTTGTGTATGTTTTGTCCTTTCAAGGCAATCACTGAAAACAGCTCTGTCATCTGATAACAGCACTTAGATGAATGAAGTTGGCTTTGTAGAACTTTCACTATGTATGACTGACTTACTGGATTACCACCACTTTACATTTACTTGCTAACTTATGTATATTCACTGTTTTTCAGCTTTTTAAAAGCTTAAAACTTTACCGTAAGATGCCCAAGTCAATATTTTCACTCAAAAAAAACTTAAGTATGTTTGCCTTGCACTTATATGCATAGAGTTTAGTGTTTCTCTACAAAGTGTCCTCTTTAATTGAGTTGAAATGATTTTTGTAACTCTTAGTTGATTCATTAAGATTTTACACTCAAAGCCTCCACCCCTTCATCAACGTCCCATTCACCTCCTGCCTCCTCTCAGAGCTGTCTGTCCCCTGGGAGAGATTGATGGCTGAGTGTGTTTGCTGGGCAGCGGCCACAGATCACAGCACACAGTCGCCTCTGGGGAGGATGGCGGTTAATTGCCATTGAACCATTAATCATAGCAGCCAGGCCTTTCGTTACTGAAAGGAATCAACATCAGTAGCTAGGAGACTTTGGGAAAGCAGAGAAACTTTGTTTTACTCTGATATGATGTAATATTGGTCTTGTCTCACATTCTTAATGAATATAGTTAATCTTTAAATCTTTTCAAACATAAACCGACTGTGTGTGTTTGTGTGTGTATTTTCCACCTTTGTTGTTTCTATATACAGCATTTATCTTTAGTCTTTTATGCATATGAACTACCTAACAGTTCTTATCTGTTTCAGCTCCAACTGAGTCCCCTCTGCGACCCAATCTCAGTGAGTCTTCATTTCATTACAAGTTGTATTTAATTAATTTCTCTACTTCACAGCCAAAATTGTGCATATTGTGTATTTACAGTGGAGCTCCATGCGAAACATGCTGTGCTACGAGACGACTTTGACTCCAACATGCAAGATGAGTTGGACCCTAACATATGGTAGGTGAAAAGCTTCAGTTCCTCTTGCAGTCTGCTTTGCCTCGTAAGTTTTCTGGGTATGCTCAGGTATGAGGTTCAGTCATTTACAGCCGACTTTTATGTTCTTTTTATGGCAAACTGTAAGAACATGAGAATTATGCAGTTTTACAATATGAACTGAGCACAGCCAGTATTTATTATGCCTTGCATAAGTATATGTCCTGGACTTTTCTGCATTTTGTGGCTTTGCAAATGCATGGTTTAACACTGCTATGAGATTTTTTTTTTGTGGAAAAAAACAATTCCAAGTAGCATATATTTCTCTAAGCAAAGGACACACAGTTTTTAAGTATTTTTTACCTGTAAAATGTGAACCTTGGTGTTTAGACATAAAAGTAACATTAAGAAGTTCAAGGAGGATGGAAACTTTTTGCAAAACATTGTATTTATTCATCAGGGTTTGCAAAGATAAATATATTTCTGTTTTATCTCCTCTTAAACTGTTTACAGGTCAGACTGCAGTAACTGTGAGGTCGGAGATCAGTGTGGTGTGCTGATGCATGGCAGAGCGGTGACTTTCTGTGAGCACTTTGGAGAGCGAGAGCTGGTAACTACCATGTTTGACCACAGCGTAACCACACTGCATATTTTACGGCCAATTGACTATAGATCCAAACCAACCACCAAGTAACCGCAACCACATCCAGACTACATTACAACATCCTCACTGTGACAACAGTAGAGTTTTAATAAAAAAAAGTCATAGTGTTGTAGCACCTCAGCCGAAATCTGTAAATCAGCAGTAGCTTTTTATATATTTTAAGATGACTTATCAGATAAGTACGGAAGAGGATTAGGGCCACTGAAAAAAAAAAAAAAGTAAGCTGATTTTTAAATTTTATTTCAGTTTAATATGGGAAAAAGTCAGAATTCTGACTTTTTTCTCAGAATTCTGACTTTAATCTCAGAATTCTGACTTTTATCTCAGAATTTAGGATCTTAATGTAGATGGGCACCATGAAGAGATGTGGGAGCACTCAGCTTCACTGACAAAGATGTGAATTATTTGAGGTGGCCAGTGACACATTGGTGGAAAATGACGGAATTAGGCAACTTTTTACGTGCCCGAGGGGTCCCCTCATTAATGGAGGAGCAGAAGGTCATTAAAACAAGAGAGCTAGTCTCTAAAACAGACATGGCTATGGCTTGATGCTAACATGTTTGTTAGCTATCAGAATTCTGAGAAAAAGTCAGAATTCTGACTTTT